GTGTATGTGTGTGTGTGTGTGTGTGTGTGTGTGTGTGTGTGTGTGTTTGTTTGTTTGTTTGTGTGTTTGCGGGTCTTTGTGTGTGGGGGGGGGGGGCAGGAGGGGATTGTGCGGGCGTCGATGGTGCGTGATTGCAGGCGCCGAGAGTGATGGCGGTCTGGTAGGGATCAGGCGTGCAGCCGTGTTTTGATCCAGCAGGGCTGTGATGGGGCCCTGTAGCCAGGGGTCCTTTGACCCCAACAATCGCCCTCGTGCGGTGGACCCGCTTTCCATGCAGAGCCCCCGGCCCTCCCCTTCCAGCCCTCGACGCGCCATCCCTCCCAACGCCCGTAACCCCCCCCCAAACATTTGCACACACCCTGCCCCCCAAAAGGCATCACGGTCAACCAGCTGCAGGCCTGCGCCGGCAGCGCCGAGGCCCTGCCCGTCGGCGCGCTCCTGCCCGCGGCCCTCTGCGTCGCCGGCACCGTGACCGTCCCCTCGGCCGCCTCTGTGTACAACGAGTTCGCCCTCAAGAAGCACATGGACACCAGCGTGCACCTGCAGAACTTCTTCCTCTACTTCTACGGGGCACTCTTCAACCTCGTGGGCGTGCTGGCGATGAGCGCGTACAAGCGGCAGGGGCTGGCAGAGCTGTTTGCGGGGCAGACGCTCGTGACGGCGGCGCTCATCGTCAACAATGCTGCGCAGGTCTGGGGGCCGGGGCGGGGCAAGCTGGGCGGGGCGGGGCGCGGCGTCGGGGAGGGCCCGCGGTCGGGTGGGGGCGCTCCCGATGTGGGCGGAGGGTAATGATAGTGGCGGAGGGAGTGTCAAGTGTGTGCAGAATTCGGGCAGGGGGACTCCACGACCACGCGCCACACACCCAACACACTTCTCGACTCACGCCCACGCACAAAAGCGCGCGCAGCACGTGACTGGGGCTGACTGGGGCTCTGCACCCGCGCGCCCCTCTTCCGACCGCACCCCCAAACCGCAGGGCATCCTGTCGTCCTTCTTTTACAAATTTGCGGACACCATCCTCAAGAAGTACTCCTCCACCATAGCCACCATATTCACGGCCCTCATGAGCTGGGCCATGTTCGCGCACCCCCTCACCGTGAACTTCGCGATCGGCGTCAGCATCGTGTTCGTCTCCATGCACCAATTCTTCACATTCACAGACAAGGCCGGCCCCGCCAAGGGCGCCGCCGCCGCCGCGGGCAACGGCGCCGTCGCGCTCGCCGCGTCCAGCGCACGGGGGCCGCCGGCGCCGCAGATGATCCACTCGCCGAGCATGGATCAATTCAGGGTGGCGGCGGGGCCGCCCAGCGGCAACGGCGGGCTGTCGACGTTGGCGGAGGAGGGGGCGGACGAGTACGGGGAGGGGCTTGCGCTCGGCGGGCCGGACGGCTCGCGGGCGCCGCTGCTGCCGCGGTAGCCGCGGCGCGGCGCGGGCCGCCTGTGCCGCCGGGGTGCGGGGCTTGCGGCGCAGGGGCGGCAGGATATATTAGGGGCCGCTCGAGCGCCCCTGCATGCCACCAGCAAGCCCAGGGCCGAAATTGGCTTGGTCCATCTGGCTTGTGGTTTGCACAGCTCCTGGTAGCAGCGAGCACACCGTTGGCGCGGCCCGCCACCAGGCCGTAACAGGCAGCCAGCACGGTGGCGCTCGCAGCCCCCCCCCCACCCCCACACACACATTTCGTGAGCTCTGGTCTGGGCCTATCCTTCTTTGTAGGTTGCAGGCTGTTTCTCTTCGCCAGGTCTTGCGCTGTTGTCGTCGCAACCGCAGACATAGCCTTAGGCAGGCTTGCACTCTGCAATTCTGGGTTTCAAAAAGTGGATATTACCATTAGAGCCCTTATTATTGTAGTCCTACCTACACTGTCGCCTGCTACACGACGGAATTCACACAACTCTGAAAAATAGACCTACATTAATGCTAATGACAAACAAAAGGGTTCAGGTGCATGGCGCCCCCAGCAACGTGGGGGTGGCCTGCTCCTCACCCTCACAAGCGCGAGACTCCGGCTGCTCCCGGGGATCCTGAAAGCAGCTGCGCAGGCGTCGCGTGCGCTTTGGCAGCGGGGTGGGGTCCTTGACAGGACGGGCTGCGGGCCTCGCCCGTGCTTGCTAGCAGGCCCATGTCCACACGACGCCTGCACAGTTTTTGGCTCACCAGTGCAGCACGCGTGAATGACGCCATCATGCCATTATTATGAAATACTGCAAGGGCCGGCGGCGGGCTAATCCCAAATGATGCTATGACCGGGGGTTGCAAGGCTAGAATCATATTTTTTTCAAGTCAATAGTCAAACAGGGCGGCGTCCACGAGCAAAAGGGGGGCGCTGAGGGTTGAATGCCGCGACTCACACGACTGGTCGATATACAAAAGAGGGTTTGCTGCGCCCTGGGGCCTAGCGCGGGGCGCGCGCAAGTGTACAGGCTCCCCGCCAGCCGCTCAAAGCGAGCCCGGGGCGCTGCGGTGCGCGTCCCGCC